CACCACCGGCGACACCGGCGACACCGACGCGGGGTCCTTTGGCTCATTTGGCGCGCTCCACGGTTTGTCCGGGCTGCGGAGCGGCGCTGCGGGACCCGGTGCTGCTGCCGTGCGAGCACAGCTGCTGTCGCCGCTGTCTGCTGTCCCCGCTGTCACCTCCCGCTCTTGGGGACACCTCCGGAGTGTCCCCGTCCCCCCCGAGCCTGGCGTGTCCCCGCTGTCGCCGCTCGTGTCCCCCCGGGCGCGTCCGCACCGCGGTGGCGCTGGCGGTGGAGGCGCGGATCGTGCGGAGGCTGGCGGGGGACACGGGAGGGGACACGGGAGGGGACACGGGAGGGGACAGAGGGGACAGCGGAGGGGACAGCGGGGACAGCGGAGCGACGGGGACACGGCGGAGACCGCGGAGGTGCAGGTGAGACGGGAAGGGTTTGGGGGAATTTGGGGGAATTTGGGAAAATTGGGGATTTGGGGACACGGGAGGGGACACGGGAGGGGACAGAGGGGACAGGGGAGCGACGGGGACGCGGCGGAGAGCGCGGCGGTGCAGGTGAGAGGGGCGGGATTTTGGGAATAATTTGGGGGATTTTGGGATTTTCGGAAAATTTGGGAGTTTGGGGATTTGGGGACAGGCGGGGGACAGAGGAGGGGACGCGGAGGAGAGCGCGGAGCTGCAGGTGAGAGGGGCGGGATTTTGGGAAAATTTGGGTTTTTTTTATTTTTAATTGGGATTTGGGGACACGGAGGGGATGGAAAAAGGCGGATTTTGGGGGATTTTGGGAGAATTTGGGGGATTTTGGGATTTGGGGACATCGGGGGAGATTTAAAGTTTCGGGACATGGAGGGGACAGCGCCACTGCAGGAAAGAGGGACGGGATTTTGGGGGGATTTGGGGGATTTTTGGGGGATTTTCAGAATTTGTGAAATTTGGACAACTTCCGAGAATTTGGGGATTTCTGCGATTTTGGGGATTTGGGGGATTTCCAAAATTTTCCGAATCCCCAAAATATTTCAGATTTTCGGGGGAATGGGATGGACAAAGGGGTTTGGGG